TTGTTTTTATTCACACGCTTTTTTCAATAGGATTAGGATCCCTTTATTTATGGGAAGTCGTCCTGTCGTCCTTAATTAATATATACTACGTATAAATTTTCTCTCTCATCACTTATCTATAGCTGGCACGAAGAAGCCTCACACAAGCATCAGACAGACAGATATAAATGCAACCACTAAACAGCATAGGATCTAATCACAAATGGACACCAAATTTATGAAAAGACCACATAAACTAAGAACCATAAATAATGATGTTATTAATCCAAATGTGCTTCAACGCTAGTCTAAGTAGAAGAAAGATTATTGAAGTCCTCCTTCACTGCTTCTACATGCCTTAGGAGTTCAGACATATCCAGAACTTGTTGTTTCATGTTCACCATTTAGATGTGATAGGGACCCGTACAATAGAGATTAGTAATAGAATGATAATAAATAGGTTAGTGGACAAGTGAGGGTTTTGGGCCTTGTTTGGGCCAGCTCTTTAGGAGAGGAATATTATGAAAGGGGAAAGGAGGGTAGAATAGAGGGAGTTGGAATTATTCTGTTTGCTTGGGACTTGGAGAGTCAGCACTCTTAAACTGCCTTTGTATTTCTCTCTCTATACTTGCTGTTATACGACATCTCTTTTCTTCATCTTTGATTCTTGAATTCTCTGTGCAATTAGATAGTTACCTATCATTGGTATCAGAGCATCATTCTTGCACCTAATCATGGTCGTCAGAATAGTAAAGAGTAAAGATTTGGTATCGCTCATGGTGGAAATGGATTATGAAATGATGGAAAGTAGTTGGGAAAGCAGGGAACGCGGACCGGAGAGGAGTCGCAAAGAGAGACGGAAAGATTTCGTGGAGTTGCGAAAATCGAGACTGCAGAGGAACGATTGGCATAAGCGAAGAAGATCGAGGACCATAAAGCACTGCCGGAATTCCAAAAGCAAGAACAGTTCTCAAACCGCTCTTCTACCTTCACAGATTTCATCGAGTTCGCAGAGTTCGTCGCTACGTGATTCACTGAGTTCGCAAGCTTCATCTCAGGCGCTAACCGCTTCTACCAGTTCACCATTGCTAACAGAGCATCATCAATCGTCATGTCAAGTTTCGTGCAGGTTTCCGAGTCAGCTCAAGTTTCTACGCTGGGGATTTCATTGGCGACACCAAATCTTGAGGGGAATCCGGCTGAACCCTCAGTTCCGGAATCGGATTCAGACGAGGATACTAATCACTCAACGGGATACTCACCAGAAAATCTGGAAGAGTCAGAACCGCTAAAATCTAATATTCCTTGCAGTCATGAAGGAAATCGTACCTACCACACTGATCCTGTCTTGGAACTGAACAACATTATCACAGGGGCTGATGAAGGGGACATGTATCACCCACCTATCCTTACCCATGAGGGTCAGAGGTTTAATATAGAGAGTGTCGGTCCAGGTGATAGAGAGCAGGAAGAGCATGGGGCGGGAACGGGCTTGGGCCCACTTCTGTGGGCCGGTTATGGGCTGGGATTATAGTTTTATTTATTATGATTAAGTTTATGCTATGTTTTTAGTTTGGGCCTATTATTAGTAGAGAATTTAGTAGAGTTAGTATGGGCTTAATTAGGATTTAATTAATTTGGGATCGATTAGGGTTTCTGTTGAGTCTCTTACTAGAAGGCTATTTATACCCCTTGCCAGGTTTCATTCTGGATCATCTTGGAATAAAATTGGATTTCAGCCTTTTGGCTCTGGGCAACGGTTTATATCGTTGATTAATTGGGCAACGGATTTATTCGATTGTTTTTTATTTTTCTGTTTTCATCACCACGTCTCAAGATACTCAGAAAAAGAGAGGAGCATTGGGAATTGGGTGACAGTGTTCACACACTTACTAATAGGAGATGGAAGGAGAAGTACGTTGTTTATTCTGAAAGTCAGAACCAAGTTTTGGTGGGTGAAGTGGCTAAGGGAGTTGAAGACGTTTAAAGCTCAATACTCCCTGAAAAGCATATCCAGATGGAGAAGAATGCTAATGATCATGGCATGAACACAAATTCTTCCACGGGTGAATATGGATTTACTCAAAACGTTGCTTCTCAAGAGAGGGAAGCAACTACACCCTTCAGAATGTTTCTGTCAATTGAGTGTAGCCTTCGGATTGAGGAGGCTGGCGGTGCTTTGGGCAATGTTGCTGGTGATGCCTCAATCTATAGAGATCTTGTTCTTGGTCAGGCTGCGCTCTTACAATTGCTAAGTCAGTTAAATGAGCAAAGGGTAGGCATAACTGAAGCTGCTGAGATTGTATACTTCACTGGCCTTTTTTATAGCCCCTTGGAGTCTCACATTTACTGTCCTAAACTGTTTCCTGAGTTGAAGAGGAAAACATGTGGTTGCGCTTGATCATCCGATGGATAGAATTGTTAACATTTTTTATGTGTTGGTTTCACCTCCCAGAATATCATTATTCTCTGGGCATGAGGGATGCTTTATCATGCAATTGCAGGAGCAACCAGTCCCAAGAAGCATTCCAAGATTCAAAATGCGACAACTTGAAATACCAGAGATAATGCAGAGACAAGCAAAAGAGGAGAGTACCACCTTAAATGAGAATCTATATAAACCAGATGAAGCAAGGTTTGGACCTCTGCCATATAAAACTATGATTCATTTATATGGGTGTTCTGGTGTCCAACAGATCAGTGATTCAAGGGAAAACACAGTTGACATGAAAGCTCAGTTTCTAAGAAGTATGGGCATCTTAGTTTGGAAGCTCAAGGGTACAGGGGGGACTACGCCAGTGAATTGTGGGAACGGTGTTTGTGGTGGAAATTATGTGTTGAAACGAAGTGGCCCAACTGTGTTTTATGTAGCAACGGTTTCAGATTCTGATAATCCGGAAAGCTTGTGGACACACAAAATGCAGGCTGAAAATCTTCTCCTTCAGGTGTTGCAGCACTTTGATCAGTGAACTGAGTATTCAAAGATTTCTATGTGGAAAAATGTCACATGGACTGTGTCAAACTTTTGTCAAGGCAAACCGCTCTGTGATATTGTGGTATGTACAGATCCAAGAATTGTTAATGCGTGCCTTGAAGGGTTGGAGAACATTCTGAAAGTAGGCAAAGCGGACAAAGAAAAGGAATTGAAGGATGGGATCAATTCAGAATCGAGTTCCAGTAGAACGTTTATCTTTGACAACGAATTTCCCTGCAGGTTTTATCTCCCGCCTTCACTCTTGTATGCGATGAAAGAAGCGATAATGAACAATCAAATCATGAAAATCAGGGTTCAGAAATCAAGGAGGTACTGGGAAGGGAGAGGCGCAAGGTTGAAGCTGTTGGCATGGCAGCTTCTTACTCCCCACCTTGAGGACAAGGTGGTTGTCAAAGGGAGGAGTAATGATAGGGACCCGTACAATAGAGATTAATAATAGAATAATAACAAATAGGTTAGTGGACAAGTGAGGGTTTTGGGCCTTGTTTGGTCCAGCTCTAGGAGAGGAATATTATAAAAGGGGGAAGGAGGGTAGACTAGAGGGAGTTGGGATTATTCTTTTGGCTTGGGACTTGGAGAGTCGGCACTCTTAAACTGCCTTTGTATTTCTCTCTCTAAACTTTCTGTTATATGAAATCTCTTTTCTTCATCTTTGATTCTTGAATTCTCTGTGAAATTAGATAGTCACCTATCAAGATGCCAATGGGTATAGGCACCAAATAGTGTTGATAACTTCGTATAGAGCATCTTTGCTTTGTTTGAAACTTGATTACACGTCTTATAGGATTATAAATGTAAAGCAGTTATGCTTCGATTGACCATCATAGCATACGATAGAGCAAGGCATTCGTATATTTGCACTGGTGTTTTTTATGTGATACCTTTGGCCTCACACTATAGCGATCAACCATTCCTTGAATTTAGAACCATATTTACCCAGACGCAGCCCAAAAATTGATGAGAAGGGGCAGATAAGCTCTCAACTATTAGCAATTCTGGAAACAGGCCCTTGAACAAAAAGACCTTGCAAATATGCCCCTCGACACCAGTAGGTAAAAAGGGTGTGATTGCTTTATTTCACCGAGTGGAGGGGTGTCTTTACGGTTCAGGGGTCTTATTGCATCGTTAATAGTTTGAGGGGGTATTTTCCCCTTTCCACGTTTGTACTTACCACCAACTTGTAGGCAGTAATGCTAGGATCTGTCAAAAGAGTTCCTTGGGAGCTATAAAACAGTCGGGCAAACTGAAATTTCTAGGAGAAAAAAAGCCAGAATGTGGAGTAGACAGCGACGCGTAGCGGAGTCAACCTGTAATCGGAGATTCATAGTGAGGTCGCTTGAGAGAGAGAGAGTAGTGCAATAATGTGTGGGGGGGGGGGGGCAGTATTGATAGGGGATCATCTAAAAACGGAGATTGGAGAAAAAATCTGGAACTAGGATTAGCAAGAGTAGTGGCGCATGGTGGCACATCAAGTGCTCTACACAGATGGAACTTATGGCAAAGGATCGGGATAGTGGTTCCAACCTCATGGTAGGCTACTAGGCTTACAACAACCATATCACATTATCACAACTGGAAGAGATTGGATTGAATGGAAACCATTGTTCTGACACTGACACCAATCACTCCGGAAATATATAGCTGCAGCTAGGTATTTTATGTTTGGATGATACAAGACTCTAATCCCATGTGATAATATGACGGTACATATTTTATTTCTTATACCGACTCACTATACAATGAGGTATATTTATAGGTAGAATTGCACAGAGTGGGCCAAATCTGTAAGGATTGGGGTTCCAACACTAACCATAAAACAGAAAATACTTGCTCTTCTCTAACAAAACATATTTTATTCCTCAAACTGACTCGCTATACAATGAGGTATTTTATAGGTAGAACTGCACAGAGTGGGCCAAGCCCATAAGGACTGGGGTTCCAACACAGAACAGAAAGTACTTGCTTTTCTCTAACAAAAAATACAAATTTTGGTAAGGAGATGAATCCAACTACAGTCAACACCAACCTTTTCTATCCAAATCTTCACACACGTGAGCAGCATCATTAACATTTCCTGCCTGTATTGTGTGAATGAAATAAACCAAAAGCTCAGTTATGGGGCTTTAAGTACACTGTTTTCAGCACTCCTTGCAAGCAACAAAAATTTAGCAAGCATATTACCTTACAGAGACACCTGGCTAGGTTAGTTGATATACTCTTGAGATAGGTCTTTGATTCTTTTCCACCAAACATGATTGCTGCGTAGCATGCTAACTTATATGATGGAATAGCATTTTGATAATCCTGTCTTGCTTCACATACTAGCCCACTCAAGTTGTGAGATTCAGGATAAGTAGGGAGATGGTGCAAGGCTTGCTGGATAGCTCTAAATACCTGGGGGGGGGGGGGGGAACTTTCATTTATCGCTTCGAAAATTTCCATTCTAGTTAACAGTTTATGATAGATAATGGCTACACCCTAATTATACTTAGTTCTGTGTTAGGCCTGTACCTCTGAGGACTTGAGGTTACCAGAATGTAGAGCAAGTTTCGTCAGACCAATTTGAAACTCAGCAAGCTGCTTGGAAACAAGTAAGGAAATATATTTAAAAATAAATCAATATACTAGTAGGGAATGTGCATTACCTGAAAATAAATGGAAATGCGTAGCCATCATATGTTGTAAGTTAGGGTTTTAAATTGGTCAAAGGAACTATTTTTTATTAGAATGTCAAGATATTTCCTCTTCAAAAAGGTATACAATGATAGCACTAGACAGAGAGAGGGAGAGAGAAGTTATCACAGGAAAAATCTGAACAGCTCGAAGACAGCACTCATATGCTTCCTCTTGTTTCAGGTTCCTGAAACAAAAGCACGTGCAAATCAAACTTTATTCCAAATATGGCATATAACCATTGATTATTTCACTTATAATAGCAATTACTATTACCTCACACTGGCATCAGCTGACATGCCAGCCCATGGCAGTGAAAGAGAAGGATCAATACTTCTTGCAGAATCAAATGCATGCTGCGCTAATTGTCGTTCACCCACTTTCCTGTATAACTGTGATGAATATCAAAAAATAAAGTAATTGATCAATTTATCAGCATTGAAGTATCCACTCATAATAGCTTATCTTTTTATCTTTATTCCTTTTTTTCCTTTTGGTTGTGATATCATGTATCGATTCATGTTAGCCGACCCCAATATCTTTTGGGACTAAGGCTTGGATGTTGTTGTTGTTGTTGAAGTATCCACTCACACTTTCAAAGTCGTCCACTTATAAACCAAGCTTGTAAACCATTTTCAAGCTTGTTTCATCTAATATCTTCTATGTTTGTTTTCTTTGTAAGGATTGCTTGACTTGAGCACACTTGTTCATAAACAGTAAACACGCTTGTTTACCAAACTTGTTCATGGACCAGCTTGATAAACAAGTTCAATATATATAGGGTGCGCTTCTAATGAGAACCATGCTTGACGTGAGAACCGAGAAAGCACCACCTTTAACTCAATGTGATACGCTATAACGTTTGTACGTTAACTTTTTTAAAACATGACAACATCAAATAAATATGGTGGCAAATCCGTAAATATTTATTCAACACGGTAAAGTGTAACATATAAACGTTACAAGTGGTCTTCTCACGAGTATCACGTTAAGCATGGTTCTCATTTGGTTGTAAAACTATATGTGTGTGTGAGAGTGTGAGGAAGCAGTCCAGCTCCGTTAATCGCAGAGTCACTCTCTCTTATGAGAGGTCTAAGGTTTGAAACTCCATGGAGGCAGTTTCAATCATGTTTACCCCAGGCCCTCTCCCCCTGACCCCCCGGGGTAATAGATATGTGTGTGTGCGCGTATGATTGTGTACACATGTATAATACTACCTCCGTCCCAAAAAACTTTGTACTTTTATGAAAGTTATAATTATGATTCTGGGTATAAATTTGATTAATATAATTATGGAAGTTATAAATTTACTACTTATATGAAAGTACTTTTAACAAAGAACATTTTCATATACTTTTATATTATGAATAATTTCCAATAAAAAGATAGAGTTGGTCAAAGTTTTAAAAATGTCAACTTTTTTTTGGGACAGAGGTAGAACTAAATACACAACCACTTAATCTCAAAGAAAAAAGACCACCGTATTTCGAGAGTACCCAGATATATAAAAATACTCAAAAATCATACAAGTGTAAAGCCAGTTATTGAAGCCAATCAAGGAACACTCCTTAGAAGAACATACACTTGATGCGAGTCCGGACGCTCTAAAAATTAATCCCAATAGTGATTTCTCTAGAGTTTACTCTAGGAGGGGTAAAAGAGTAAATGGTTAATTAAAAGGTGGGACGTTGGGTGTGGATGAGCTAAATGGAGAAAATAAAATGCCTGCTGATGAGAGAGGAGAGGATGTTCTAGAATTGGTTAGTTTGTTAGGAGAGTGGAGAGCCCTCTCGAATGGCTTCCAAATTGTAATCTCTTTTTTCTGCAAGTTATCGCTTATGTTCATTGTTTGTTTTGAGATTTTACAGACATTGTATTGAGACTTTGATAAGAACTGATTCTCACAGTAGAAAATAATATGTATAATCAGTAGAAATTCTCAGGATTCATTAAGCCAATTCAGGAAATCAGCGTACAAGAAAGTTGTTGTCCAGCATAATAAGAAAGAGAACATATTTGAGACTCTTCGAGAGGTCTTGCTCTCCAAGATCCTATTTCCAAGCCCAAATTCAGCCTAACCTCTAATTCCTCTCTTCTGTTCAATTTATACTACCCGTACAATTATTGTTCTCAATCATCATCATCATTACCCCAGTGACGCAAAGGCTCCCACCTACGGTGGGGTAAGGGGGGTCGGATGTACACAGCCTTACCCTTGTACTAAAGCACAAGGAGACTATTTGCAGATTACCCATGGTGAAAATCGCATCAAAAATTGCATGAGTTGACTGTTGCTTCATAACAAAGAAGCGCGGACAGTTTAGTGAGTCATTTTGCTTTATTCCATCATATTCCCAAGCCAAAAAATAGTGAATCTTTGGCTGCATTGCAAATGATGGACAATTATTGTTATCAATATTATATTAGTATTATAAGCCCGGTTCTTATCATATCTCCCCCTTAGACAACCACCTTGTCTTCAAGGTGAGTGATACGAAACAACGCTTGCCATCATCTTCATCCTTGTGCCTCGCTCTTCCCACAACGCTGATTTATGGACCTTTAGCTTTGGTACTTGAACCTTCATTCTCATGTTCTTCGAAGCATGAAGGAGCAGATGGGCATGATGGCATAATGCCTCATATTGTTGCAAAGGTTAGAATCTCCAAGCAACTAGATCTCTGGTTGTAACCTTTGCTTTGGTTCCAACATCTTTTCAAGAGACTTGACCTCACTTTTGTCAAACCCTATGAAAACATTAATCCAAGTTTTAAGTGTGTTTTTAACATAAAATCATTGGGGAACCAAGAATGACTTAGAACAGGATCAACGGCCTCTGATCTGAAGTCCTTGTCATAATAACACCTCAAGATATTCCAGGGATCCTATCATAGTGGAAGCTCTTATGCATGCCACTGGAAAAGCTCAAACCGTAATTTTTGTATACTTCAGCTAGCCTCTCCAATGTACATCGTTTCACCAGTAAAGTTGTGTCTCTATGTCTCTCAGCAACGAGCTTGATTCTGTCAGAATCCTGCTGATAAGGATGAGCCTCTCCAACAAATGCAGCAGCTTGCCTTTGTTGTCGCTCAAGTAAGTGAAGCTCTAATTATAGGCAAACAATGAGAGTAAGTATTGGGGTCTTTCCTTCTTCCATTAGCACATCCTCCACCTTGAACTCCATATTTTCCTTCTCTCTAAAAGCAGTTATTGCAAACTTGGACAATGACTGCCTTTTTAAGTATACCGTTAGCTAGATATTCAACGATAAAAATATCGTTGCCCAGAGCCAAAAGGCTAAACTCCAATTTTATTCATAGATAAGCAAGAATGAACCGTGGCAAGGGGTATAAATATCCTTCTAAGAGAAACCATAATCAAGCCCAAATTAATTAAACTCTAATTAAGCCCATACTAACTCTACTAAATACTCTACTAATAATAGGCCCAAACTAGAAAACATAACATAAACTTTATAATAATAAATAAAACTATAACCCTAGCCCACAACCAACCCATGGAGGTGGTCCCAAGCCCGTTCCCGCCCCTTGATCTCTCTGCTCTCTATCAATCCATCCTCCTTCAAAACAACCTTGTCCTCAAGGTTGGAATCTGAAAACTGCCTCACAAAGCTCTCTTTAATCCTAGGATCTAATTTAAAATGACTATTTTCTCTTTCTTTGCGCAGAAGAGGCACTTCTTCAGCTCTTACACCAAAAAGGAAAAAATTATCTTCCCCAATTTCCTCTCTGATTTCCATATTAGCCCCGTCCAGTGTTCCTATGATTAGGCACCCATTCCGTGCAATTTTCATATTGCTATTCTCATTGGCCTCTAACAGTACAACTTTTGAGGGGAATGAAGACCAATCAAGCTTACCCTTCCCATCACTCCTCTCCTTAAATCTGTATATGGTATCCTGAAGTGACGCACCACTTAGCAAAATTTGTTTAGGTCTTAAAAGTTTTCCACTTTCGGTTGCATAGTCGGGATCAAAGATAGCACAAATATGGTGAGCACTAGAGTGAAACTGTGTAGCAGATTCATATTGACCACTGTTAACTTGAAATAATTTGAGTGCCTTCCAGACATCCTTAGTAAAATACCATAAATGGGGTTGAGGCAAGGGACAGTTGGCTTCTAAGAGAGAATTTTCTCTTCAGGTGTTCCACAAGAAAATGGTCTCTATGGTCATGTTCAAGCCTATCAAGTCTGTGATAGAACACTGATAATCGATACTCATAACAATATAGAAATCAGTAGAAATTGTAGAAGAACAGATCGAAAGCTTAATTCAATATGATGAACTGAACATAAGGGATACAGTAGCCATAGACAATTCGAGATGCCCAGTCTCCAGATCTATTCCCAACTCAAAATAACTGCCTGCCTTTTACTCCTCCTCTCCCCTTCTATTTATACCACTACATATACACTTACTATTATTATTTTTTCTATTATTAGCCTACTAAGCCAGATTCCTATCAATACTCCCCCCTAAACAACCACCTTGACCTCAAGGTGGGTGATAGGAAACAGCCATGATCTTCCATTTCCACTTCATTCTTGCACCCCTTCCTTCCCAATACCTCACTGCTTGCTGAACCAGATGCGTCAATACTTGTTCCTTCAAAATCACAAATGGTGCTGCTGCAGAAGATATGTCTTGTGCAGTTTCATTTGTTGCAATAGCCGTCAAGCACTCGCTAACTACAAACGTTTCCTTGTTTTCATGAGACTCCTCAAGTACTCAAGTTACTCAACTCATTGTCTGCAACAAACCTTATGCAAACTTCTCCATTTATCATCCACTTTTCTATGTGGCAGATAGTATCAATGATAGAATTATTTGTACTAAAAGGATTTGTCTTGTAAAACTTCAACAACCAATAGAAATTGGTTGTTTCCATGCGATTTCAGATTCTCTAACCGCCAAAGTCCCAAGTCTGGGAAGTTTTCTTCTTTCCTATCCCCTATACGAGAGCCAATAGCTCTTGCAGCAACAGAACGATCTTCAGGGACCGGATCCTGATGAACTTCAGGCAGAATAAGCATGAACGTATTGGTATCCCGATTCTTAAAAGTGATAATTGCACCAAACTCCTTTATTTTATGAACATTTCCTTCAACATTGCTACCATGAACAAACTCATCAGTCCATCTCCGTCCAGAATCAGAGGAGTCCCAAATTGCAGAAAGTACCAATTTGCAGCCTTCAACATCAATAATAAAAAACTGGTAAATTTCAAAACCTGGTTTCAAGATATACTTTCTTAACCCAGCAAGATTACTATGATCGTATAAATGTTCGGGAAGAATCATTCCTTTCCAAAAATTTGGAGCCTCATGAGTAACTAGATCGATGTTTCCAGAAATGACCTTTCCCGGTTTA